TGTTCCCCTCTATTCGACATTGGTGAGGCCTCATCTGGAGTACTGTGTCCAGTTTTGGGGCCCACACTTCAAGAAGGATGTGGATAAATTGGAGAGAGTCCAGCGAAGGGCAACAAAAATGATTAGGGGTCTGGAACACATGAGTTATGAGGAGAGGCTGAGGGAGCTGGGATTGTTTAGCCTGCAGAAGAGAAGAATGAGGGGGGATTTGATAGCTGCTTTCAACTACCTGAAAGGGGGTTCCAAAGAGGATGGCTCTAGACTGTTCTCAATGGTAGCAGATGACGGAACGAGGAGTAATGGTCTCAAGCTGCAGTGGGGGAGGTTTAGATTGGATATTAGGAAAAACTTTTTCACTAAGAGGGTGGTGAAACACTGGAATGCGTTACCTAGGGAGGTGGTAGAATCTCTTTCCTTAGAGGTTTTTAAGGTCAGGCTTGACAAAGCCCTGGCTGGGATGATTTAACTGGGAATTGGTCCTGCTTCAAGCAGGGGGGTTGGACTAGATGACCTTCTGGGGTCCCTTCCAACCCTTATATTCTATGATTCTATGAAAACTGACTTTATTCCTACCCTTTGTGTCCTATCCTTTAGCCAGTTACTGATCCACGAGAGGGCCTTCCCTCTTATCCTATCACATCTTACTTTGCTTAAGAGCCGCTGGTGAGGGACCTTGTCAAAAGCTGTCTGAAAATCCCAAGTACACTATATCCACTGGATCACTCTTGTCTACGTTTGATGACCCCCTCAAAGACTTCTAACAGATTGGTGAGGCATGATTTCCCTTTACAAAAGCCACATTGACTCTTCTCCAACCAATCCTGGTCATAGAATCATAGACTTTAAGGTCAGAAGGGACCATTATGATAGTCTAGTCTGACCTCCTGCACAATGCAGGCCACAAAATCTCACCCAACCACTCCTGTAACAAACCCCTAACCTATGTCTGAGCTACTGAAGTCCTCAAATCGTGGTTTAAAAACTTCAAGGTGCAGAGAATTCTCCAGCAAGTGTCCCGTGCCCCACGCTGCAGAGGAAGGTGAAAAACCCCCAAGGCCCCTGCCAATCTGCCCTGGAGGAAAATTCCTTCCCAACTCCAAATATGGCGATCAGCTAAACCCTGAGCATGTGGGCCAAAATTAGGCTATCCCACCATATCGTCCCTTCCATAAACTTATCACGCTTAGTCTTGAAGCCAGATATGTCTTTTGCTCCCACTGCTTCCCTTGGAAGACTGTTCCAGAACTTCACTCCTCTGAGGTCTTTTCAAACTAACCTGATTTCGTTATGTGATCATACTGCGGTTTAGTTGATAAGGTAATTGGTAGATGTAATCCACTTAGACTTTTGTAAGGCATTTGATTTTGTACTGCACAATATTCTGCTTAAAACATTAGCACTATACAATATCAAAGCATACATTAAATGAATTAGAACTGGCTACCTGACAGATCTCAAAAAGTAGTTGCCAATGAGGAACAACTGAATGGGAGTATTTCTAGTGGGACTCCACAGGAATTGGTACTAAGCCTGTTGCTATTTAACATTTTCACAATGATCTAGAAAGTAAATATAAAATCACTGATGATAAAATTTGCAGATGATATACTGTCAGTGTGGCAATTAATAATGAAGAAAGGACAGTCATATACAGGGATCTGAATTTCATGGTAAGCTGTGCCTATTCAAACAAAATGAGTTTTAATACAGCTAAATGCAAAATCATACATTTAGGAACAAAGATAACAGGCCATACTTACAGACTAGGAGACTATATGCTGGAAAACAGCAACCCTGACAGGGATTTAGGAGTCTGAGTGGATAAGCAACTGAACATGAGCTCACAGTGGGATAATGTGGCAAACAGAGCTATGATCCTTGGATATAAACAGGGGAGTAGTAAGCATAGTAGTAGAAAGGTCCACATTTTACAAAGGATAAAGAATTGGAAATGGTGCAGAAAAGAGCTACAAAAATTATTCAAGGGCTGGAGAAATGCTCTCCAGTGAGCTCAATCTGTTTATTTTATCAAAAAGAAATTCAGAGGTCACTTGATTATAGTATCAAAGTACATTAATGCAGAGAAGATACTTGGTACTAACGGGCTGTTTAATCTAACAGACAAAGGCATTACAAGAATCAATGGCTAACAGCTACAGCCAGACAAATTCAAATTAGAAATAAGGCACAAATCTATAATAGTGAGGGTGATTAACCATTGGAACAAACTACCAAAGGAAGTGATGGATTCTCCAACTCTCAATGTCATCAAATCAAAAACAGATGTCTGTCTGGAAGACAAGCTTTAGGCAAACTAGTTATGGTTTACTGAAATCCAAGGTACTTGGCTCAATACAGGGGTAACTGGGTAAAAATTAACAGCCTGTGACATAAAGGAGGTAAGACTAGATTATCTAATAGTCCCTTCTGGCCTTAATATTTATGAATCTGTGAAAATAAACCTATTTTTCCCTAGACAGGATTTAACCAATTTTCAGATAGTCACCTTTATTTATCCAACAAAAAATACACATACATGTCATTATATAAGCCACAGGAGATAACGGTTGTCTAAGCCTCATGTTTGGCATTCCTAGATGGCTTTAAACCATAAATTCCAGTCCCAAGAGGGTCAACTCAGCCCTCCACCTCTCTGAGATTGATAAATTGAGTGTCATACAGTTTACTGTGTCAGTTTTTAAGATAAAACTAAGGTCCTGTATGCTTTGCACAAACAAACAAACATGGCACTTTTCAAGAGTAGTGATTTGGCCTGGTGCCCTTGATTAAAACTTCCCTTACCACTTAACTATTGTGTTGTATACCAATTAGATGCTGGCCAGTTCTCCAGTAGCGGCTGCATTTCACTATACAGTGTTTCATAAATCGTGTGTGTGAGATGTGATAGATATCACACACACACACACTATTATATATATACACACACACAATTTGTGAAACATACTGATCTTTCAGCATGTAAGACCCTATAAATATTAGTACATTTAAGAGTTTTGGTTTTAAATATTTTTCAGTAAGATTATCACAACCATCAGTTTCACATCCCCAGTCTTGCATTAGGGAGTAAAAATACTATTGAAGATTAGTGCACGATATAATTACCTGCTCCAAAAAGTTACTTTACAGCAATGTTGTTGCATGTTTGAATTTAATAAAAATTTCAGATTGTCAGATAACTGTCTCAAACTAATATATAATTAAAGATAATTAAGCAAAACTTAATACATCATTATACACAATACAGAAAGACATACTTTATCGCTCTCTGGGGATGATGAAGAGAAGGTTGTTTGGTACCCTCCTCTATACCTAGTAGAATGCTGACAGTGTTCATTCCCTAACTAACTTTCTAATCCTCCTCCTTTTTACAGGGTGTGAGACAAAGAAACTCCTTTTTGGAGGGAAAATTGCTTTCCTATGATTAATTTCACTATGTGTTCTGTTTTTTACATTTTTATTTTACCTAATTACATAGGGAATTTCTTTTATGGTATCTTTAGGTTACATGATTGATAAGCTAAAGGGAATTCTAAGCTAGTTATTACTACTGACAGCTGTGACAACCACCAATTAATGAATTAAAATCATTTTTCAACAGATCCTTATTTCATCCATTACAGAAAACATCTGCAATAACAAGTACCTCTCATTAATCACGGAACATAATTATATCATAGGCACCCCTTCTCAATCATCCAGTCTTGTTTACAACATACTTCTATAGACACTGTTTATTAGTTTGAGGGTGTCTTTCCCCTAGACATTTGATTCCCACAGAATTGGAGGCACCAGCAGTACATGAGGTGCAGCCGAATACTCAATCACATGAAATTCCTGAATACAGGTCACTAGTAGGTTAAGAACCAATACTCCGGGCCTTAGAATTCAAACACACTCTTTGCTAATATATTAACGATTCCAGAATAGTTAATATGCTACTCCTGGGGGAATTCTGCACATCTGTGGACACAAAGAATTCCTGTCTCGCATAATTTTGTATTTTCCCACATAAAAAACATTTTGCCTAAGAACTGCTGCTTTTTGCTCACCGGAGGCCGCTGAGGCACCAGAACAGCTGGCTGTGTTCATGCCCCTGTTCTGGCACCACAGCGGCCCCTGGTGGGCAAAAGGCGGAACTGCAACACTACTTAGGCAAAATGTGTTTTATGAGGGAAAATAAAAAATTCTATACCCACTGCTTCAGAATTCCCCCAGGAGTAGAAGTTCATCACAGCACCCTGCCCACAGAGCCAGGTTATGGCAGAGTGCGGCACACAAGGCTGCAGGGGGGAGGGGTGTCACAGACTAGGGTTCAAAATGGTTAACGGGAGGGACAGACTGGAGCATGGGCTCAGGAGCTAGTGGGATAACAGTGTTGAGCCTGGGAATGGGGGCTGCAGAAACCCATGGGGTTGGGGAATGCAGGGACAGACATGCCTGACTGAATGGGAGAGGCTTGGGGAAGGCTTCCCAAATCCCTAACAATTCTCCTTCCCCTGGCCCCACAAAAAAAAAAAACCAAAAAACCCTCCCACCCACACCCAATAGGTTCATTCCTAGGCTCCTTCCCTCTCCCTCATCTCCTCCATTACCCAACTCACCCAAGCATTTGGACTGCTTCTGACAGGTGAAGGAAATACAGTTCTGTATTGTAATTTAAACAAATTACACAAAGTTCAGTATTAACATGCCCAGTAATCTATTTGTAAAAAAAAAAAAAAAAAAAAATTTTTTACCAGAATCTTTATTTTTTTGGTCTGTATTGTTACAAACATACTTGCTGACAGATATTTTGAAATAAATTACCAAAATAATCGAAACGGGCATGATTATATTGTGTTATTTTGACAAATGAAATATGCAGAATTTTGCAAAATTTTCAAATATCGTGTGAAGAATTTTTATTTTTTTGATTCAGAATTCCCCCAGGAGTAATACACAGATTAATTTAATATACAAGTAAAAGAGGACTAAAAAGGTTAATATTGACTAACAATGTTTATTTGCAGAAAACATCCCTCAGGATATTCCTCAAAAACATGTTGGAAAAAGCAGCTCCATTTAAGAATTAAAAGGAACAATTCGGCGAAATTTCTCTATCTACAGTAAATTCTTTAAACAAGTATCAAACATACTATTAGCAATATAGATACATTTCTGCATTAAAAATCTATACAACGTCCTTTTCTCTCCCAGTCTCCATAACGAGTAGGTTCAGGGCCTTTGGGTCCACCCTTTTCCTTTGTAGTAGGATTGATGTCATCTGGAAATTCTACAACAATATGGAAATTTAAGAGGCTGGATAGCCACCTGCCTTGTATGGTTTAGACACAACAATTCCTGCATTTTGGCAGGGGGTTACACTAGATGATTCTTGCGGTCCCTTCCAACTCTATGGTTCTATTTTTTTTATCTTTTTTAATCTATGATTTAAAGACCTATAAAGCTGGCAGATACAGCACAAAGGTAAAAATTCCACAGTGTAAACATGTTTGTACCCATTTATAACAAAAGACCGATCTTGATTTAAAAAATAAATAATTTAGGTTAATGCAATAGCAATTTCATGGAGCTTGGAGTTAAAAATCTTAGCCACAATTATCAAACATAGGTATCTACAGTCAGGAACCTAATACCATAATTAGGCACCTTAATAAAAGTGACCTGACACTCAAAGATACTGAGCATTCACAACTACCACTGAATTCAAAATGAGAATTTACTTCATTGAATAGGAGCTACATGTGCTTGGCACCTCTGAAAATCAGTCCACTTTTCACTTTTGCTTAGATCTCTAATTTTAAGCACCCAAATCTGAAAATTTTGGCCAAGATTCATTCTGTCTATATTTCTTTTCTTTTTTTTTTTTCGTGAGAATGGGTAGACATCTTGATTTACATAAAAACAACTGAGTTTTCACACAAATAATTTCTACCAGAAACTGTATGTGGATTGCTATTGCTTTTATAAAGAAGGCACCAGGTACTATGACGGTGGACAGAAGCATAAAACCCTAAACCACACAGATAACCTAAAAAATTAGAAATATATCTTTAACTTAAATATATTTAAATGTGCCTTATTGTGTTGTCTTGTTCAGCATCTACATAGATTTTTAAACGTCAATATTTGCATATGACTTCTGGCATGGGTAGCAGGAGCACAAATGCTTCATCTCTATTTAAAATGATGCTATAAAACTTATCAAAATATCTAAGCAGCAGCATCTCAAGAGACTCCTCAGTGGCAGTGACAAAACAGCAGTGGATAGTGATTGGTTAGTTTAAGTCCTAATTTACGATCTGGTTAGAAGCCAGCATACAAGAACTGAGCTATTGGCCTTCTAACTGATGATTTTTGCAGTGTCAACAGCAGTAAGCCCAGGCACAGGGAAAATAAAAACCTCAAGGATTTTTCTGGCTTAGCCCTAAACACAGAACCCCTAAACATGAACAAAACAAAACAATTATGGATTTGTTAAATTAATGTCAGTACTGGCATTTACGTATTTTGGGGGTAAAAGGATTCAAGACAGAATCAGAATAAGCACTTCTCTCCGATTACACGATCTCCCCAAATCTGAATAAATCCTGATGGTAATCACAGTCCAGTACTGCTCACAGCCTCAGGCATTCCTCACTTATTTTTTAAATCATTTACATAGCACTCCAAATGTTTACGGTATTTACAGATATGTAAAAAAAGCCATGCACTTGACAGCTTAAAAGTAAATTAAATAAAATTTGTGCCTTATAATCAGACTAAGAAATAGACAACAAAAGGCAACTGATCATGGTTCTATGGATGGGTGTGGCTACAGATGAAACATGCTATATGAGTTTACCTGTTTTAGGCCAAAAGGAATGGCTCCTAAAAATGCATGTGTACACTCACATAGTTCATACTTATTTTCTTGTGATTTATAGCAAGAGTAACATTCTAAGGCCCCAATCCTGCAAGAACTTCCACATGGAAGGGGGAGGAATAGCTCAGTGGTTTGAGCACTGGCCTGCTAAACCCAGGGTTGTGAGTTAAATCCTTGAGGGGGCCATTTAGGGAGCTTGGGCAAAAACTGGGGATTGGTCCTGCTTTGAGCAGGGGGTTGGACTAGATGACCTCCTGAGGTCCCTTCCAACCCTGACATTCTATGATTATCACTACAAAAGGAACCCCACTGAAATCAAGTGCAAGGGGCTTTACAGGACCAATGCCTAAAAGTAGCAGTTCATATATTAAAAGGAGTTGGTGCTCTGATGCTTTTGTTTTACTACCACTATATACAACTCAGTCATAGAATTTGTGGCCAGAAGGAATCACCAGATCATCTATTCTCACTTCCCAGTGCACTATAAAATAGACTAAAATGGCATTTAATGCTAGCTATGAACATTATATAGCATGTTTCAGAGTTCTATGTAAGGCCTGATCCCAAGAAGTGCTGACATCCACAGCTCACATAAGATTTGCAGGCACTCAGCATCTCTCTGGATCAGGCCTTTAATTAGTACTTTTTTTCCTTTTTTAGAAAAACCATGACTTACTTTCCAGTGGTTCCCTCTCTCTATTGGACTCCTCTGGTTCATCAAGACGACCTACTGGTAATTTTGATTTTTTAGGGGATTTCTGTATAGGTTCAGACTTTCCTTCCACATTAGAACTAGTTCTCCTCAAGGAGCTGCACAGCGGAGCTGGCCCTATCAAACAAATGCACATTAACGTGTAAGTTTGTTAAAATGTAACAGTTTTATGCTGAATAACTGCATCAACCAGTGTTTAAAAATCCTCATAGAAACTCACTCAACTCCACCTACTAGAGAATGAAGCATTCATTCTGGGCAGGAGCACAAAAAGATTTAATATTCAATATGCAGAAAGTCCTAAGACGTCAGTGCACTTTCTTAATTTTAGACCTTAGAAGCAGATACCGAAAGAAACAGTATTCTAGTGTATATCTTGGCTCTCAAACTTGATAAGGTTATAAACCACTTGAAGCAGTCAAGATAATCAGTATGCTGGCATGTTCTAACAAACACATTTTCCCCCCAGGAGTGGGTTTCAACTTCCTCTCAGCAGCATCTGGATGGGGTGGTCTACTCCCAGCAGCCAGTGGCAGGTGCTGGGACACTGTGCAGCCCCTTGCTACAGCAGCAAAGCAATTCCAACCAAAGCCTTCAGTGAGGAAACAGAGACAAAAGTGAGGAGATCTGAATTCAATCTATATTGTATAATCAAGATGTACACACAAAATTAAAAGAAAAATATTGATTTTCTCAGAAAGCCCGATCAACATTTAGAAAGTGAATTTGGGGAAACATCTGGCAAAAGCCCCACTTCACAATTAATCACAGCCAAGTCATGTGTGAAAACCTGTCAGTTCATCATATCACAGCGCTGTTAACATACAGCTCAACACATGTATGGAAGCACAATGTTTGCAATGAAAATGAGCTGTCATTTTAAAAAAATCCAGTAAATGCCTAGATATGTTTGGAGATCATTATGGATATGGAAGAATATGAACACTTTTTAAACTGTAGAAGACGGGAGAGAGTTTAAAAAACAAAAGAAAATCCTTCCTCAAGGAAACCTCCACGATATGACCAACACGAGGAAGAAAAGCAGTACGTTTACAGAGCAAAAGCAAGGGGACAAATCCTTTTAACTCCCCTCTGCCCTAACTCCACAGACATCTCCCCGATGCTGAGCCTAGTGGGGCCCTCCAAAGTAATTCAATTCAGATCAAAATACCACGCTTGATGCGCAATGTGCTCCTAAGCTGTACAGAGGGCCGCAAAGCCACAGGCTGCTGCAGAGGGAGCTGCCTCAGGCAGCACCAAGCCAGGTCTTCTCTGGCAAAGGGGGGCTTCCGGCCTAGACCCCTGTCTCGCTGGTCAGTGCCCAGTGGGGACGGGGGCCGCAGCCTCACCTCGATGCAGCCGGTGGAGGCCAACCCCAAGAGCAGCGACACCACCAGCTGCGCCGGGGTCGGAGCCGCCCGTGCCGGGCCTCCAGCAGGAGGCGCAGCCAGAGGGGAGCCGCCACGCAGGGCCCCCAGCAGTAGGCCCGAGCCACGCAGCTGCAGCGGCCCAGGGCGTGCTCCGCCCTCAGCGCCCCCGCGAGGGCCCGGGCCCTTGCACGCTGCGCCCGGAGCGGCGCATCCGGCAGCTCCCGCCGGCCCGGCCCCACCCGACCCTAGCCGCTTACTCGTCGCTCGGCCCAGCAGCAGCCGTAGAGCCATGCTGTGCCGCCCCCGCCGAGCTGCGGAGGACGCCAGGCAGGCAGGGGCGAGGCTCGGCCTGAGCCTGCGCGGCAGCCGGCTGAAAAACGTTGCGGGAGGGGGGCACGGCTGGGGGAGCAGCGCGGGGCGGGACAGCCGCGGACCTGGCGCTTTCCCGCCCGCCCGGCTCTTCGCGCGCCCCAAATCGCTCCCTGTTCCTCCCTCCGGCCCCGCTGGCGGGTGACGCGTGTCGGGGGCTCTGAGGAAGGTCGCGACCCTGCCGCTGTTCCCCGCCCGATTCACGGCTCTCCCCAGAGCTGGGGGGTGCGGGGCTCAGGGCTGCAAGGTAGCGCTAGCAAAGCGGTGTTTACAGCACATTTCTCAAAAACCAGTCCGTGATTCCCTCCACTGCTCGCATTAGCAACGAAGCGTGTTGAAGTCAGGGGAAGTTTCCGATGCGGAAGGGACACAGGACCAGGCCAGAACTATCCCCTTCAACTTCACAAAGCCCTCAGCTACTCCAGTCAGTGAGAGGTGCTTCAGAAATACTTGTAAACGGCCCCCCTCTCCCTCCATTAGGGCCCCCTCTAAAAACAGTGGAAAAACCTATTCTGTGCAGTAAGTGCAAGAAATGCTTCTAGAATGATGAAGAGTCAAGAGGATTATGGGTGGCACCACTCAAACAGAAAAATTGTTACAGTCTGCCCCCTTCCCCTCCAGGGAAAATAAAAGTCTGGAGAATTTAGGTAGAGGAACACACAAACGCATGTCAAGAAGATAAAACTCCTACAGTCCCCTTGACTACAAACAGAATGTACCACTCTTCACTAAATGGGCATGACTCTCTTCTGTGGACACTCAAATTGAAGTCTCTTGGTTTAGCTTAAGTCACTTCCTGATCAGAGTAAGTGAAACCAATATAAAGCATGCTTAAATCAGTCTGAGAAAGTGTCCACACCATAAGACTTAAGTGGTTTAACTATATCCGTTTCTAAAAACAATTTACATTAATTATATTAAACTCTTGTGGGTACACCTGGCCTAAGATCTTGTGGGCAAGAGAAAAAAACAATCATGTAGGAAGTATTACAAAACACTGACAATTCTTGCTAATATGTTCACTTTTTCAAGCCCATAAGGATAAAAGAACACTGTAGGATCAAATATAGAACAATTTTTTTCACGTAAAAACACGCAAACACAGAATTTACTTCTTGAACCTTTAGTGTGGCTATAACACTGACAACATGAATGTAACTGATTAAATGATATCTTTCTGGGGCTGCAGACAGTCTTGAAACAATAGTTCTGAGATGTGTGAACTGCCCTAGTCATCTCACTCAGGGCCCTGTGAACTCTGCAATTCCACAACCAGCTGACATTTTTCCAAGAAGCTACAGAATCCAATAATTTTACTGTAGAATTTGCCATTTGCTGCTGACATTCTGTTTTCTGTTTTTATTTTATTTAATTTTTTATGGGAATGTATCAGTGTTTATTACTACAACAAAAATAGGTGGAAATCAGTGGAAAAAACTATTAATTTTTCTGGGTAAATATCAGAGTTTATTTTGATGGATGAAAGGACTGGGAAAAAAAGTATTGAGTAGATTAAAGCTTCGATGAATGGAATTCAATGTGGTTTGCTGCAGAACTAAAACAGAACTCAAAACACAATGCCACCTGTGAGTTTAAGAACAAAAATATCTCCAGTCCCCAAGTAAAACTTTTAATTTGAATAGTTTACTGTTGTGGACTTAGTACTATTAGCTTATAAGTATTTACTTTTAATAATTGGGCCACATGATTTACAGTGCATACACACCACTGTTACCAGATTTTCCCATTACTTTGGGGTACACTCATTTATTTGGGTTACTCTTCTGTGGGGCTGGGGGTTTTTGGTAATTCTATCAATATACTACTTGTGTCACTTGAGTTCTCACATGGAGCTCTACTTCTCCCGTCTGCAAGTTCCCTCCCAGTGGAGCTATCCTGCTCTCTCTCTCTCTCTCTCTCTCTCTCCAGAGCACATCTGAGAGGACTGGGTTAATCAGCACTCCCAAGCTGACCCCTTATATGATCCTGGACTCAGTAGGCTGTGTCGAGCAGCACTTCCAAGCTGGCACTGGAATAGAGTATGCCTGAATGTTGGATCATATTAAAGAAGTTCTGTATTAAAATCACAAATGAGTTTGATTCCCCATAGTGTAAATTCCAGGGTATTACTAATTAAGAGGTCTCTTGGTTTTTGGTACTGTTTCTCTCCCTCCATGTGTGAAACCTGCAAGCTGCTAATTGCATTAGTACATTCTAAGACACAGTCTGTTCTCAAAGCAATTCACACAGAGAGAGGCTCAAAGCAATACTCTGTAACAACAGAAACGGCACCCAGAGACTCCCCGTCCTTTTGTTGTATTAACAATTGTGATTAAAATAGAGACAGAGGGGGGAGCGATAGCTCAGTGTTTTGAGCATTGGCCTGCTAAACCCAGGGTTGTGAGTTCAATCCTTGAGGGGGCCATTTAGGGATCTGGGGCAAAAATTGGGGATTGGTTCTGCTTTGAGCAGGGGATTGGACTAGATGACCTCCTGAGGTCCCTTCCAACCCTGATATTCTATGATTCTATGTGGATGGATGCTTGGTGTGGATAATAACTGAATGATCAGGGAGGTGCCAGCCTAAGAATCCAGTGTCCATCGGCTGAAGAAGGCGTCAAGTGGAAATAACCAGAGGACCCGCGGAGGGCAGACTGGAATCTACCCAACAGCCTCAAGAATGGGAAAACCAAAGAACAAGATAACATCTAGCAGCACAGAGCCGTCAGGAATGTGCCATCTGCTGATTGATTCAGCAACAGCATGATGAAGCAATTCCCATATACTGGCATAGGAAGAAATTCCTACAAAAATGGACTCTAGAAAGTGAGAACTTTGGGGTCTGATTCTGCAAACCAACTTCCAGGAGCATCAGATGAGCATCTGACAAGGCCCTGCTCCCTCCTCATGTCCAGGTCACCTGGCCAGTGGCTTGGCATGAGCAACTCTAAGGCTGGTAACTATGATAACAACCTTGCAGAACCTGTGTGTGTGTGTTTGTATGAATGAATGTGTGAATAAATATGAGATTGAATGGAATGTTATAGCTATAACTAACTGCTTACTATGATTCTTTCTGTATTCACAGTAAATGTGGTATTTTGCCTTTTTCCCTTTAGTAAGATCCTGCTGGTTTTTATTTTATTGGTATAACATGAACATGCTAGGTCGAGCAGCACTTTCAAGCTTCCACTCTTATATTCCCCTGGACTCATCAGGCTAGGTCGAGCAGCACATCCAAGCAGGTTCAGCACGTCCCATCCCCATATGCCCCAGGTTCAGCACATCCCTATCCTCACTTTCATGTTATAATTGTTCTGGTAGTAACCCACAGGATTTTTGGGCACGGCAGGGATCTTTAGCTTAGGTACGAGGAGCATTGTTGTAGAGAGAGAGAGAGAGAGAAGCAACCAGCTTAACCACGAAAGTTATTTATTGCCAGGTAATAACCATACAAGGGGAGCCAAACAAAACAGAATATTAAATATAACATAAATTTCAGTATAAAAGTCAGGTTTAGAAAACTATACCTGATCACACAAGTCAGGGTCAGAAGGCTATACCTAGAGAGAGAGAGAGAGAGAGGTTCTCACCACTCCGGGCAGCTTGAATCAATCAGGGTTCCCAGGTGGTGGTGATGGTAGCTGAGGGTCCAGAGTGCCAGAGGCAGGCATAGCCCCCAGCACGATCAGTCAGGAGAAAAAGAAGTCCCAATGGAACTGATGCAGTTTTTGGATCCAGGCATCAGAGCACTTACTTGAGCGTGGGTAGGGGTTTTTGTAAGGAAAGAACAATGGTTCAAGGGAGAACACTGGATTTGTTTATGGGTAAACTGATGGCTCAAGGGAGTTGTCAAGGTTCCCTCCCCACTCTGAACTCTAGGGTACAGATGTGGGGACCCGCATGAAAGACTCCCTAAGCTTATTTCTACCAGCTTAGGTTAAAAACTCCCCAAGGCACAAATTCTCCTCTTCTACCTTGGATTAGGTAATGCTGTCACCACCAAGTGACTTAGACAAACTCAGGGAAAGGACCACTTGGAGTTCCTACTTCCCCCTAATATCCCCCCAAGCCCCCATACCCCCTTTCCTGGGGAGGCTTGAGAATAAACAAGATGAGCACAGACCAACCTTGGGGTTTTTTCTAAAAAAACCCCCCATCAGATTCTAAAAGAAACAGAACTTTATTATAAAGAAAAAAGGTAAAAGAAACACCTCTGTAAAATTAGAATGGAAGATAATCTTACAGGGCAATCAGATTTAAAAACATAGAGGATTTTCCTCTGCGCCAAACTTTAAAGTTACAAAAAGAAAACCAGGAATACACCTTCTCAGCACAGAGAAAATCACAATGCAAAACAAAAATAAGCTAATGCATTCCCTTGCTAGTACTTACTAATTCTAATGGATTTGGATTGCGTGCTTCCTTGATCTGTGTTCGGCAACCACACAGAACAGACAGACCAAAACCTTTCCCCACCCAACCCCAGATTTGAAAGTATCTTGTCCCCTTATTGGTCCTTTTGGTCAGGTGCCAGCCAGGTTACCTGAGTTTCTTAATCCTTTACAGGTAAAAGGATTTTGTGCCTCTGGCCAGGAGGGATTTCATAGTACTGTATACAGGAAGGTTGTTACCCTTCCCTTTATATTTATGACAGGAGTATACCAAAGTTGTTTTGTTCAGGCTAGACAATAGAAACTGATCATTCCTGGCTATGGGTAGTGTTCCTTCGAGGGAGCTCACAATGCAATTAGGCAGCTTCAGTATTTTGGATACCGGTAAAGGATGTATTACTAGACTTGGTCTGATAACTACTGAGCTGCGTGTGTGGCGGCATGGGTTCATTAATATCTGGAGCAGAGATCCCCCATCATGCAGTGCTTCCCTGCTTTTCTGGTCCCAGAGTTCAGTGCGGTTCTTGCCTTGAAACCTCTGTTCTCCATTCTGTATGCTAATGGAGATGCCTCCCTGTCCCATCTTCGATGCAAACGAGGCTAGGGGAGTTTCCTTAATCCTGTCACCCTTGCCTGGAGGGGTTTAAGTTTGTCTTCCACTGCCTTTTCATTACTTTTTGTAAGTCTTTCTTCTGAT